AAATAATCATGATTTTGCTCATGCACCCTGCGAGTATCTCTCTCTCTCTCTCTCTCATTTCGTGACGGTGATGCTTGGAAAAAATGCTACACCTTGCTAAGATTGTTCCCATGCGGGAAGGGGTTGCGCTATATTACACTTGCATTTTCATCTCGCCTGTGAGGTCGTTGTTGCTCTGGTCATTCAATTCGTCTGGCTCCTGCGGGGAGATTCGAGAACACACGGGATGTTGCCATAAAAAGTCATAAAACACATGAGGCCAACAGCCACGTGCTATGGTGCCATCATGTAATCGGAGCGGGTTAGAAGTGGGAGTTACCTCCAGCCAAGATTGGGTGCAGCCTCTTAAACGCTTGTACTGTTTGATCTGGATACGCACCTTGATACTCTGATCTTGGTTACCAGACTCAGTAGATAAATGTAGACATTCCATTTCTTCCATCTTCCCTGCTGCGATCCTCCGGGGGCATGAGTATGTGAACGATCGGCTTGACACCCAACAGCAATGATGACGTCACGTTCATCACGAAATGTGTGTCGGCGATAAAACCTTAGGGCCCAGTTTCGCTTCACAGTCCCTGCCAATCTAATTGAAGTATCAATCGGCCCTTGCTGACTATGATCCCAGTATGAAAATCAAACAGAATCATACCATTCTCCGTGGCGCCTCTTGGGCTTTGCCTCAGCCCGACCTGACCCTTGACAAAGGAGGCTTCTCGCTGAGAGTTGAGTTTCTAGGCAGGTGCAGCTGACATCTGATGACATCCCAATGATACCATTGCATTTGCATATATACATGTGCCATAAACATTCCTCCGTCATCACTCCATCAATCTCCATCAGGCAGTCCAAAAGGATCCCTAATAAGGCCAAAGGAAGCCTTCGGCTACTGTATCCCCCCAACATGGTTGGCTTTCCTTATCTGACAATGTCATCCAATTATATCCAATTCGTTCATCTTTACTCCTCGAATGGATCCAAATGGGACACACACACACAGACACAGATAATTATTATATATATATACACCCTCAAAATGTAGCATATACCCTTTGTAGAACCCTGGAATTTGAACCTGAGGGTATACATTTATCAACAAAAGGGGGGGCCATTTTGAAACACCATGGTTTTGTCGCCATCTCCACGAGCAACGACAGGTCAAAGCCTCTGCGCGGACACCGCTTTCGACCTCAGTGACCATGCCCTGGAAGCCACCGGCGCAGTGCAGGAAAGGAATGGAAATTATCTGTGAAGATAGAAGATATTGTATATACATTATATACAGTAACTGTTGGATACTATGATATACTATGTGTATCGTAACATTTCGTAACTCTACATTACTCAAAAATAATCAATATATCTCAAAACGCCAAGAAAACAGAACTTTATGCCTGCCAATCGCTGCAGTATATTGTGTTGTTGCCCAAATGGCTGAGGCATGCTGAGGCAATGTCATGACTTTCCCTGGGAGGATCGACAGCTTCGGTGATCTTCTCCCGCTGAGCGACTAAGACGATAAACCCGTAGGGTTCCACGATGTACTCCGGGCACTCTGATTGCGCAATCGGTGTGGCATCGCCGAACTCATCATAGACATCATGTCGAAAGGGATTCCTCAGGGCACAGTTGGATTGCCATTCCACTGTATAATAATAGTATAAACTAAGAGTCCTGCAGAAGCATTGGCACTACAGTACATGGGAATATGTTCGAAGATTACTTTTCAACACACGTCGGCTCTCTGCAGGACCTCAGGATCACTCCAAATCTTCAGAGTGGTACAAACGCCTCCAACAAATATTCTAAGCCAGCGAGCTCCACAATGACCGAATCCCTTTCAGTGGCTGTGCTTTACCAAGGCACATGCAGGTGCTGAAGAAACCTGCATCAAAAACAGTGGGGTTGCTGTACTGCTTTGGGAATGACGGGTGGAAAAAACAAAACACAGTGAGCGAGAAAAACTGAAACACCTTCTGTCTGGTATAGTCTTGACAAGGTCTTGACGTGGTCTTGACCTGGTTCTATCATGTTATATACTTGCAAACTCCCGCGGCTCCTCGTACGGCCACTCTTGCTTTCAGTTCATCTTCAAAAGCCAAGTGCCTGCGTCCTCCCAAGATCTCCCAAGAACACACACACACAGATTCTCTCTCTCTCTGCCTCTCGCTGGGCATGGCCATCCGAAGAACACTGTGCTGAGAATTTGCGTGAATTGTTAGCCCCACCTGGTCAATCTTCAGAATGTCGATGATCTCAAGATGTACTAGTAGCATGATCATTGTGCACTGAAAAGGCCTTTCGAACAAATAAATGAAAACCTAAGACTATCCAACCACAGGATACTACGGCTAACCCCAACCCCATCACATCTCTCATAATTCTCAGTGAACTCCGGAACCATGCTGCAGTATGCCGTATGCCCAATAGCTCCACTTTGCTGCCTTGCACATGCCAGTACGTGACCTCCATTTCAAAAGCTTTGCTGGAGTCTCCGTTGCCACCACCTTGGGTGCCGTCGGATCAGTCGCCAATATGCGAAGGGCTTGCAACAAACCAAGAGTTGACAAAATTGCTGTTTATATTAAAAATTATTTAAATGGGAATGGGATGATAGTACTTTGCAACCCGGAAAACAAACCCGGCCAATGTCAACTAGTGTCAACCCATGACGGACACTATATGGTCAGTGTCAAGTGGCTCCCATCGCCATCCATAGCAGCGCCCACCGTCAAGCGATGTTGCCCCCGCAGCTGTGAGAGTGGGTCCTGTCAGCCGGAGCCACTTGGAAGTGGTTCCAAGTGGCACCCTGAGGGACAAATGGTCCGGGGTTTCAACATTTTCAACCTCACTGAACAAATGGAAAATTGATGGAAAATTGATGGACAACTGGGGATCATCATAAACACTGATTGAAACCATCAGCCAGGCAATCACCAGATTGCTCAGTGTTTGCCCTCATGATATCCCATGAGTTGCCATCGTCCGGCCCCCTTGCTGCCCAGCCTCCAGATTAATCCTCGGTGACGGCAGAAGTTTTCATGACCAAGGTGCAACAATCAAAGGTGAAACACAACTAGCATTAGAATCACTATATATACATATATATATATATATAAATATTATCGATTAGCAGCAATCACACAAAATGTTTGGTCGAACTTGGTCGCAAAACAAGCAGGACATGGGAGACAAGAAACATCGAGGATTATTCAGGTTGCTCCGTCCCTCTCACACGGTCACAAGCGAACCCTTTCTTCCCATTGCTTGGCATTGCGAAATGGATGATCTTGGATGCGACTCTCTATATCCTATTATATCCTATTAAGTTTTTATGGGAATTTCTCATGTTCAGATTCAGAGAATACCTTAAGCAGCAAGCAGCCAAACCCCCAAGAAAGGAGGATGAATAAACAACATACAGAATCACATTCAATAAACCTTATCCAAGACGCCGGAAACCCTCCGAAGACATGCGCAACTTGAGTCCAGTGCGGGTGCCATGGCCGGCCGGAGCAGCACTGTCTGGTGCAGCGGGGCTGTCCTGTTGAAATTGCTAGGGTTTACCATGGATTTTTTGGTTTGAAATATGTTAAACTTGCACAGTTGTGAAGATGTGCCAAGTTAGGATATCATTTTGGGGGACACCCAAATAGATGCAGATATGCTGAGATACAGTACATAAGTGATGATAAATGATCACGTTGGAGTTTTGTATGGAGAAATCAATGGAAGTATATGGGTGCAATCTATTTGATCAACAAGGCACTAGACCAAATCAAGTATTGGTTGGAATAGGTGGGTAGGCAGTGCTTTCCAGGCTTCAGTTGGATCAGAAGTATTGTACAGTACTGTTCAGGTATGTCATAAGTTCCAATATTCCTTCAACTCTTGAAGACAATGATTTCGTGAAATTTCCTGATGTTTTTTTCCAGACCCACACTTCTCCAGTGGTGGTAGCCCCATGTGGTTTTGCTGGTCCTGGTCCTCAGTGATCTGTTGAATCTGTCCCGAGTCAGAGAGTGCAGCGAAGATCAGCTCACGTGCAGGGAGGACGGAACGCTCTGGCCTCGGTGCCCGACCATCCAATCACTGGGAGATCGCCAGAAAAAAATGCATGGCTAAGATTAGAAATTCAAACGGATCATGATCAAAGCACTTGGAGGATCTGAAGAACCAAACTTCAGGGATCGCATGACTTAATTGTGATCCTTCATGCTGGTGAAAAAAAACGTTTGAGGATCATTGAGGATCAACAAGTTGGTGCCGCCGCCGTGCAAAATAAGTGCACAACCAGCTCAACACGGCCCCACGACCACCCAGGAACTCGATCTGCCAGGCGGAAGTGGGTGCAACTTTCGGCCGCAACGTGTCCTCCCAAAATCTTTGGGCATCACCTGGTTTCCGCTTCGAATCCAATCATTAGCAAAGGTGGGGAATGGCTGGGAATGGTGAAGTGGGGCCGACTTTGTACATGGCAGCGACCCTCGCTTTCATAGGACTGGGGCGCTCTTCAAATATCTTCAAATCAAAATATGTACTCATATGCAAGAAGTTTTGAATGAAAGAAACCCAGTTTTGATTAAATTTACGCAAACACACCTGTGTACAATACTGTGCATCGCTTTCCTCTGTGGCCACTTTCACGGTGCGTTCCGAAGTTCCCAGGTCAATATGTTGCTCGTGTGTTTTCCATTGTTTTCCAAGATTCCAAACGATCCAAAAATGTCACAAACATCTTCGTGTTTTACAACATAGGTAGGCGTATCTCAGCCCATTCATGTATGCAGTATCCAAGTGTTCACACACACGCACACACACATACATATATAATCATATATATATATACAATTCTATATGCATTAATTTATTTGTGTATTTATTTATTTGTTCATTTAAATATTTATGTATGTATTTATGTCTGTATGTATATAGGAAAAATAATATATATATATATGTATATATCACCCGCATGTGAACAATACCAGTAATACCGCACAAGGCGGTGGCGGAAGTTTCGAAGATAGGAAACCATGGGAAGGGTGAATTTTTGTGATGCATGGGTGGGAGAGCGAATCTGCTGATGGACCGAAAGGTGGTTGGAGTTGTGCTTTTTGGAGTGGTTGAGTGGTCACCTCACCCACAACTGCTGGATGTAGTGGGATGTAGTGTAGTGTTGTAGTTGTAGTCTCGTGTGGTGCCGTTGAACGTCCAAAAGTGCTTCCAACGTGGAGTGCTTTTCGCGTTTTGACCGGCCACAACGGCGCAAACTTTTTCGACATCGCAACTTCCAAAAGATCGTGGTGTGTTTTTCACATTGTGACTTTAAAATGTTCTCTGACTCTTCCCACCGCTGCTTTTCCATCTGTCCATATTGTCGGAAGTTTGACTTCTAAACTTCCTTCGATTACACCACTGTTTTGTAAGATATACATTGTCTATCCGAATCTATCCGTCCGACTATCCCTATCTATCCCGGAATCCCTTCTCTTTGTTTCCTTGCTGTAAGTCCAAACCTGCGTCGACACCGAGTGGCTGTAGTTGCGCAAGGCCCGCAGCAATTTCCACTGCAACGTCAGCGGGGAGCTTTTCTTGGATGGCAGCGCAGTGCAAACAAACTGCAGGAACCACTTCCAGTCAGTCCCGAACCATCTGAACCTTATGGGTCTCTAGCTAGGTCCAAACATGGGTCACGCCCAACAATCCAACAACCATCAACAACCTAATTAAGGGTGATGCTTTGTGCGATCTTATTTGTAATTGCTTGTAATCCATCCCTTGTTGGGCCCCTTCTGCACCCTTTGGATCCACAACCGCAGTATCTCGCCATGCAGCAGTCCCTCCTCCTGCGATCTGTTCGGGAATGTCGTCCGCCAAGATCTGCCAAAGCCGTTCCTGGCGCTCGGGGCAGACAGTTATGAATTGCTGGAAGCACCCCCAAAATCCCACATTCCCAGAATCCAAATATTCTGTGACTCATGGAGTGAGAATAAAGGGCCCCTACATGTCCCTACCAGAACTGAATTCAAAGGCACTTCGGACATGGTGACCAGCGAGAAAGGGAAAGACCCCGTCCTCCGCAGCATCGTCATCCTCCTGAGAAGGGAAATGTGAATGCTCTTGGCCAACACATGAACAAACCCCATTCGGCCGCACATAATGGGCCTGTAGTACATGCCAAACACACGTCAAAGTCCGTCAAAGTCTTTCAAGTTGATTCAAATGCCAAATGGCTATGGGAGGCAATTGCAGGATTATCAAGCTGTCTAGTGACAACGCGGCGCTTTATAAGCCCAATCAACTCTCATCTGTAAACAGTGCTAGATATTTCTGGTTCGTTATCCCAGTTTAACCAAGTTTTTAGGGATCTATCCGTATCCTCACTATATCATAATTATATCATCCCTATGGAAGGTTCAACAACCTATATCATCCCTCGTGGAGTTCGCCGATGTTTGCCGAGGAAAGGGGTCCTTCTCATGACCTTCCTTGAAGCTCTGCGACTTGAGGTCAACGGCCGAGACACCTGGGATCACTTCGGCCCTTGGATTGGCTGGTCATTCATAGCAGTTATAGAAAGTATATATATATATACATATATATTATATTATATATAATATAATTTATTATACAATCTTATTGCATACATTTGCATATGAAGGTGACTCAAAAAAAGTCGATTCTCTCATAGTTTGATCTATTCTATTGGTATCCATTTGAATCCATTGGTATCCCTATATGTATCCCTGAGTAGGCTTCAGGATATGGTCTGGTCCGAACCTTCCGGCTGGTGACAGTCTGAGTTGCTTAAGGGGCCAAAGTTCGAGACGCTTCGGTTGTCACCTGCGGGTGTGGAGTCGGAGGTCTTCCAAAAATATCAATTACTTTACTTCGTGTGATCCCCACCATGACATTTATACATTTTCTTACTGGCAAATCTTCTGGCATTCTATCTGACATATCTTCTGACATTCTATTTGGCATTCTATCTGGCATATCTTCTGGCATATGATCTGGCATATCTTCTGGCATATCTTCTGGCATTCTATCTGGCAATCTTCTGGCATTCTATCTGGCATATCTTCTGGCATATATCTGGCATATCTTCTGGCATTCTATCTGGCATATCTTCTGGCATATATTCTGACATATCTTCTGGCATTCTATCTTACATATCTTCTGGCATATATTCTGACATATCTTCTGGCATATCTTCTGGCATATCTTCTGGCATATCTATCTGGCATATCTTCTGGAATATTTTCTGGCATTCTATCTGGCAAATCTTCTGGCATTCTATCTGGCATTCTATCTGGCATATCTTCTGGCATATTATCTGGCATTCTATCTGGCATATCTTCTGGCATATATTCTGACATATCTTCTGGCATTCTATCTGGCATTCTATTTGGCATTCTATCTGGCATATCTTCTGGCATCTCTTCTGACATTCTTTCTGACATTCTTTCTAACTTTCTTCTGCACATTCTTTGTCCCATATCTTCCTACATGAGGTCCGGCAGGGAACACTTGGCGTGGATACTCGCGGTTGAGGTCCGGCAGGGAACACTGGGCGTGGATGGTCGTGGTTGAGGTCCGGCAGGGAACACTGGGCGTGGATGGTCATGGTTGAGGTCCGGCAGGGAACACTGGGCGTGGATGGTCGTGGTTGAGGTCCGGCAGGGAACACTGGCGTGGATGGTCGTGGTTGAGGTCCGGCAGAGAACACTGTGGATCGCGGGTCGCAGTTGAGCAAGGACGACGAGGACGACGAGGACGACGAGGACGAGGAGGACGAAGAGGAGGAGAGGAGGACGAGGCAGGAGGAGGCGGAGGAGGAGGAGGAGGAGAAGGAGGAGAAGGAGGAGGAGGAGGCAACTGACATAAAATCTAACAACCCTCACCTGGCAGGTGGGGAAAAATTATTCCCAGAAGTTCGCAGCTTACGTAGCAAGTCTCAGTTTCCAACATCTAGCAACACCACCACTGAAAGTGGCCCATCTACCCATATCTACCCTCACACATCTCAGCAATTCTCAGCACCTGCTCAATATTTGCATCTCACCGACCAAGGCCGGCCACATGATCAAATTATCCATCCATCCGAAGCCAAGTTACTGACCTGAACATTGAGACCTGTTTAATTCAGAATAATTCAGGAACAGCAATTTGGATGGAAAATTGCCTGTGCTATGCAAAGGGGTCTCAACTTGCCACGTTTTAGGAGCCAACTGGAGTTTGGGATAGAATAATAGCTTCATCTAGCATGTAATATCTATAATTAAAACTATTATATGCATTTATATGCTATTATATATCTACTTTCCGAACCAGACTTGCAGACTCCTGGCCCTACCACAAGCAGCCTGCCAACGTGTCGCAGAATTCTTCAAATGATACCTTGCCATTGTTGGAACTATCCTCAGTGATGCCGCGCATGTCCGCGCTCCCGATAGAGCTTTGTATAAGCACGCAATGAATCAGCCGGCACCTATCTGAGAACCATAGAAATCATGGAATCCTGTGGCTGTGGCCTGTCTAAACGAAGCTGCAAGCAGAATCAAGCAGCCCAATCCACTAACCGCCAAGGCTCCATTACAGTCCAAATCTCATCAAAAGCCCCAATCAACTCCTGAAAATGACCGTGGCTGAGGACACCAGCGTCCGGATATGTCCCGATCAAAATGATTGATTTCTGCTTGAGCAGCTCCTAGTTCTATCTTTTGATGTGCTGATGATTCATGTTTTCACGAACTTCACGATTGGTGCAAGCTGCAGGTCATGGCCAACGACCCAAGTGCCAAGCCAGGTCCGCGTATTCAAAGTTGAAGCATGTCATGGGTTAGTGACTGTAGTGGCCACTGGGTGGTTGAGCCCACGCCTCATTTTCCGCCGTTTCATCTATAATAATTATATATTATACAGTATAATCCCCTTGCAAATTTGGGGGGGACCCTGGAGCCCCTGATTTTATAGCTATAAAATGGTGGGGCACAGCCCCCCCATGACCCTGCCATCACTATAAAATCAAAGTGTTCAGCCCTACACAGGGGTGTGCAGAGCTATAAAATCAAAAAAGTATAGAGTTCCCCCCAAAACTGCAAAATTGCTATAAAATTGGAACACAGCCTAGAGGATTTTCCCTTTTAAAGAAAAAATATGAAAACACACAAAACACAAAGATCTCTATAAAATCAAGGACTAGGGTACCTCATTCTGATGACAACTATCTCATAGATTATGAAACATATTTTGGGGATTTTTGGGGAGGGGGCTGTGAGCCCTGATTTTATAGCAGAGAGATGCAGAGAGCATAAGCACCCTATAAAGAGTTTAGACACTTTGATTTTATAGAAAATGCATGCTGCCAAACCCGCATCATTTGCCAGATTTTGCCAACGTGCGGCAGAATCTCTTTTTCCTTTCTTTTGCGTTTCATCTCGTTGCTAAGTGCTTCACTGCAGCAATTTGAACACTAGTGCATCATGCTTTGGAAGCTGCTAAAACCCCAAGATCTAGCTCATTATCAGCAGATCTGCGCGCGCAGAGTGTCTCACTCAAAATTTAGGAACATACCACTGATAACTGTCATTGCTATGAAATGCCATGAAGATCTATGAAGAATATCGACTAATCTTATAGAATCTTATAGAATCTGTTGCGTTCTTATGGCACTCTGCATACCCTCACTTTGAAGTTGGAAGACTTGCTGCATAGTCGGCAATGCCTTTCAAGAGTTGCAACCACCGTTTGCGATCCGGTGGGGTGCCCTCCAAACCCTCGAAGACTTCGCCAAAGTGTTTGGAGACATGTTTGCTCCACACCTTGCCATTGTGGTTTTTGTACCTCAGCATGATTACAATATCTTTCATGGGCATTCATTGGAGGCAAAATCCAACCACAACTATCAAAAATTATCAAAACATATTCTTATCTGAAGGATTCTGCAGGTATCCGGTTTCATTCATAGTCTATAAAATCAAAAAACATCAAAAAACTATCAACAAAATTCAACAAATATATCAATAAAATAGAGGAATATTGGGGAATATAGGGGATAATAATATAAAAATATATAAAATATGGATAAATATGGTGTTTCTGTTTCACACTCTTGCTCTCTCTTGCTAAATTATCCTAACAGGCCTTCATTTGCTATAAAATCAAAGTCTCACCGCATCCAAGAGACACACATTTGAAGTATCCAGGGGCTGCCTCCAAGAAGTCTTTCCACGGACGTTGGTTGCAGCTCTCAATTGTCAATCGACAAAGGTCTCCATTCTCAGTGAATGCCAAATTTGTTGCAAACTTCGTCTGGTCAAGATGCTTGGCTCTTTCCAGTTCCTGTTGAATCAGCAAAGGCCCGCAGCCAACCTTCTTGAAGTTTGTCTCAACGTTTGGGATCACCTTCGCACCCTTGGCTTTCTTCAATTTATTTCCTTTTTTTTAATTTTTCTTTTTCTTTCCATAAGGATTCCCTGTCGCATCTGCTTTGGCCTTCTTCCCTTTCCCTTTTGCTTTCCCTTTTGTTTTCCCCTTGGCCTTTGCCTTGGCAGTGGCCTTGCGTCGTCTTTTCGCCTGACCCCGAAGAAAAAGACCAAGATGACTCCGTTTGTGAGATGGCAGGCCTTCTGCCTTTTGAGGTTCAGGCCACCATTCGAGCAATGACCTGAGAATATTCTGGAATATTCTGGATATATCTGGCAATATCTGGCATTTTTTTGCATTTGTCTAGCCTTTCCTGGCTATAAAATCAAAATAAATCAAAGTTCCCAGCCCATCCAAGCCCTGTTAAAAGATTGCCCCAGCAAATGATTCAAATGTACTGTAACATACTGGTATTGCATGAATTTACAGTACATGACAATACATTACAATACAGACAAAGCGACTCTGTGTGCAGCAACCTGGTCGATTCTTCCGAGAGAGTCACACTGCAACTGTGGAGTTCGTTCTTGATAGTCACTGGAGCCAAGATTGCAACGATCGATTCCGGCAGCACGACCCAAGTCCTGCTGGTCCCAAAGCACTTGTAGTAGGTCACAGAGCCCTCGGTATCCTCGGTAATCTCCGTCATTTCCACCACTCTGGTACACACCAAGTGCTCCAACTTGGTCGCCAAGGTTGCCGACTTTGGTTTCCGCATTGTAACCCAGCAGGACAGGACCAAGCCAACATGTGCTTCACGATGTCCTTGAGCATTGGGAATCAGCATCATCACCACGTGGCCACTCCTGATGATGTGGGGTCAGAAACAGAAATGCTTACACCATGGTGCTATAAAATCAAAAAACACCATCAAAAGGATCCATATCTGAAGTCTATAAAATCAAAAAAATAAAATAAAAATCAAAGACAATGATAGTAATGAAACCAGCTGCTCCAATGCATCAACTGGATCAAGCTCGACAGAATTGGCTTTCGCGGCATCCTTGGTCATCTCCATCCATTTTGAAAGTCGTGACTGTCTGGTGCGGAATTCAGGCTCGTCCTCGGCATCTCTCAACTCTTTCAGTTTGTGCTCATTCCACCTAGTTGGATGCTGCAGGCATTAAAACAATTTAAAACATATTAAAACATATCTAAAACATCCATTCTAAAACATTCTAAAACAGATTCTAAAACATTAATACATTCTAAAAATTTCTAAAACATCTCTAAAACATTCTAAAACATTCTAAAACATATTAAAACACATTAAAATACCATCAAAATCAATCAAATACCATCAAATTCCATCAAATACCATCAATTACCAATGTTCACTACCAAGGTGCTGATACCAGTTGAGGCGAGCTGACTTTCGCCGACATGTTCTTGCATCTTTGATCCAGGTTCGGTCAGCACCTCCTTGCCAATGACGTAAATACATAGTGAGTCTCCACACGGAATCGAAGACTTCGGACTCATCTGGCTGCGCACCTAGGCACCAGAAGGCATGATACAAGTTGCATGCCACGGCATCAATAGGACATGCACCTTTGCTAGGGCTCTGCGGTGGTGCATCTTCTGGAGGCTGGTCACCCAACTGGTTGAACAAGTCTTGCAACAAGGTGCCGTCTGGAACTTTTTCCAGCAAAATGTCTCCAGGATCACCTGTTTCGTCTGTCGTTGCATGATCATCTTCATCCTGCTCCTCGGCATCCATGGCAGCTTCTGTCTGCAAGTTTTCAAAGAAAGCTTTCGTTTCATCAATGTCATTGCCAAAGCCCATGGCATCTTCTTCAGCTTCCAGAAAATCGTCCTCATCTCCAAGGGGTGGATCATCCCTCAGGAACTCTCCTGACTGGCAGTACGAGGTATACATCTCTTGCAGGGAGTCAGGTGTGCAACCTTCGCAATATGCTGCCAAGCGCAGGGCTGAACTGAAAGCTCGCTCTGACACGCGATAGAATTCTGAGTTGCTCAGAGGAGGAACAGATTCTGCACTGGGCCTTCCAGGCTTGAAATTCACCAAAGATCTCATCATATGCTTCGCACTTGCACGCCAGAAGCTTCTTGCATTGTGTTGTGCATTTGCGGACTGACTTCTCAGCCGACCGAAATGTCGCTCGATCGGAAGCTCAGTCATACGGTGATCGCCTCTCGACCAAAACGACCCATGTTCGTTTTTGGTGAGTCCGACAGCCACCATTGCCAGTGCCGATTGCTGCAGGTTGAGAACCGTCTGACTTGCTAAAAATAGGCTCCCCTTGGGGAACCCACGGCGCTTTGCTTCTGAGGCTGAGAGCATCTGGAACATGTCCAGCAAACAGAAGCCCGTGAGAGCATTCTCGACACGGTTCTCCAGTGACATACTTCGATGGTTGGACGGAGCCTGAGTATGTTGATGAAACTTATTGTCCATCATGATCATGCTATAAAATCAAAACAATTCAAAACATATCACTTATCCACCTCCTTTGATATGTACTGAATATTCCTGAATATTATTGAATTGTATGTAAATGATTGTAAAATATTGTAAATGATTGTAAAATATTGTAAATGTATGTAATTGTATTTTTTGATTTATATTGTATGATATTGTGATATATTGTGTGTATATGTTACGTAAGAGGATTTACCATACATGTTGAGGCCATATCCTGCTATAGAATCAAAACACAACAATAAAATCCATCAGTCGAAGTCCCTACTCCAAAACATTCCAAAATTATGGTCGGAGAAATCTACAGTAAACAAATCCAAAATACATCGAATATCATCGAATCATATACTGTATATATTCCAAATATTTACGAACACATCTCAACAATCCTTCGCACATGCCAAGAGAAAGACGAGAAGCTGTACACAAGGCCACGCAGAGGTTCAGAATGACAAAGCCTTTCAATGCCCAAGGAACCGTTGCCAATTTGCCAGCGAGTTCCTTGGCTAGATAGCATCCAGGGATATCCAGGGTAGGTTCATTGATATTATATGATATTAAAAAATATTATAAAATAAATCAAATCCCTGGGTTCAGTATGGTTCAGTCATGTTCAGTCCCTAAACATCTCCAAACGATTCCAAACATATCTAAATTGAATGTGCCTATAAAATCAAAAAACAGGGAAACCCTCTTGGATCAAAAAAAGAAAATACTGCAGAATACTGCAGATATATCATAAAATAAATCCAACCCCTGAGGGTTCAATATGGTTCAGTCATGTTCAGTCCCTAAACATCTCCAAACGATTCCAAACATATCTAAATTGAATGTGCCTATAAAATCAAAAACAGGGACACCCTCTTGGATCAAAAAAAGAAAATACTGCAGAATACTGCAGATATATCATAAAATAAATCCAACCCCTGAGGGTTCAGTATGGTTCAGTCATGTTCAGTCCCTAAACATCTCCAAATGATTCCAAACATATCTAAATTGAATGTGCCTATAAAATCAAAAACAGGGACACCATCTTGGATACTGCAGATATATCATAAAATAAATCAACCCCCTGAGGGTTCAGTATGGTTCAGTCATGTTCAGTCCCTAAACATCTCCAAACGATTCCAAACATATCTAAATTGAATGTGCCTATAAAATCAAAAACAGGGACACCCTCTTGGATCAAAAAAAGAAAATACTGCAGAATACTGCAAAATACTGCAAATATATCAATTATCATGATATATCATGATAATTTATGAATATTTATGATATATCATGAACTAAAAATAATTAAAATATAGCAGTGCACCCACACCTAAATTTAAAGACAAGTTTCTGTTGATGACACCGCATAATATGGATTCCATAATGCAGCATTCAAAGAGTCCGACATAGCTTCTACTCTCCTGAAGACAGCTGGTGGCATGCCAAATCTCCTGGCATTGGATGTGTCACAAAAGAGCTTTCCGAGGTGGATCGTTCGAAGAGGTGATACCAGGCCACCTGCTGCATTCTTCGATGCATGGCCTCAGCACAGCAAATCAAAAATTGATGATCATAAAATATGTAAAGTAAACTGGACTAAAAATGATTAGAGATGATTAGAGATGATTAGAGTATATTAGAGTAACATAAAGTGATATAGAGAAACACCATGTACTGTAATACCGATCAGAATTCAAACAAAAGCCTTAGCATACATTAGCTTTCTTTTGCCTTCTTTGAGCCTTGTGACATCATGTGACCATGTCAGTCTGCTATAAAATCAAAACACTTGCCGCAAGAAAAAAACTGCAAATCCAAGTTGCAAGGGCCGGGAAGGCACCACATGGATTCGTCGTTGTGAAAGAGCAGCTTCAAAGGCAATCGAGGAAGTGCATGACGCGGAAGATCTCTGTACTCACAATCCTTCCAAAAAGGCAGGTCTGCCAGGCTTTGGGGGTCCAACTTGTTGAAGCATCCAAAAAAGGCTTCCTTCACATACAGGTGAGAGTTGGCACCATCAAGGGTGATCCCCTTGATTAGCCATGCACCTGCTTCCAGCACTTTGGAGAGGAGGAGAATCATTTCCTGCCAAGCAATGCTAAGCACATACAGGTCTCTGTTTGCTATAAAATCAAAGAAATTCAAAGAATATAAGATAACACGGGGAGTTTAAACATATTTAAAAAGTATTAAAAGGTAAAGTAGCGCATGCTAAGCTAAGCCAAGGATCCCAGTTTCCGGCATGAGTTTGTGTCTCGTGGTCTTGCTTCGGGGCAGCTAGCAACATTGGCATCGCTGCAATGCTGTATGTATGGTTGTGTGCTGCACACGGATCCCAGCACAACATTTCCATCATCTGCGGAGCCTTCGGTAAGTCGTTTGACCACTCAGAAAGTGGAAGCCAGCACTTCCTGTCATCTTGGGCAGACCAAGCTGCACCTACAAGTCCCACATCATCCCCTCTTCTCATCTGGCAAATGGTCTTCACCAAGTAGGTTGCATCTACTGCCAAAATGCATCTTCTGGCACGTGTTTGCTCTCCACGTGCAAACCTTTGATCGACTAGGATCAAGTTTGTCTCCAGCTGCTCCTTGTCAATGAGTGCAAGAGCTGGATTTGGTAATCCTCTTGGGTGCAGATCTTCCAACATGTTTGAAATTCTTGGCCGATTCTGGCGAAGCTCTTCACACAATTGCTTGCTTCCTCCCACTACTGCCAAGCTTAGAGCTGCTTGTGAGATGAGTTCTCGCTCACGGTCGGTCATATCCTTCTTTCGGCCTCTGTTGTCAAAGGAACCTCGGTCTTCTCTTTCTAGCCGGTTCAAACATTGTAGAAGCATGCCCTGCATCATGGGATTCCTGTCTAATCGTCCTGTCATGGCGGCTTGCACGATCTTGCCATTGACTTCCTCCATCTCCTGGGCAAGGCAAATCATAAGACATCGCTGTAACATACTGTAACATACTGTAACAATAATTAACATACATTATATATCATTATATATCATTATATAATTAAATATAATTAAATTATATTAAATTATCTACTAACATCTACCTGCTATAAAATCAAAATATATTCTAAACTTCTAAAATCTTCTAAATATCTTTCGACATTATTCGACCATATTCAACCTTAAAATGTGTAGAAACTGTTCAAGCATGGCTAAGAGATGCCAAAAGCATCCAATAGCGGTCATCCAAACAACTTCAAACAACCAGCTCATACCAGCTCTATAAAATCAAAAGATAAGTGTAACTTCATTGATACACATGCATGTACTGTATGCAGACAAGGTTCTGACTGCTTGTTCTGACACATAGCATCCAGAAATCGGGAAGACAGCGCAGCCACATTGCTCTTCAAAGAACCCACATGCACTCTCATGCATGGCTCCACGACAGTGTCTATAAAGAGCAAGCAGTTCGCGCTCCGATCTTTGCAGTTGGTCGACATCCATGCTCTTCGCACATAGGCCTGTAGCTGATGATTTTCCAGGTTCTTGATCAAATTCCATTTCTCTGCGTTGTTCTTGCCATAGTGGGTTTCATCAACGTAGCGCAGAAAGCTGTCGGCTTCTTCGTCTGAAAAAAAGAGGCGCTTCTGCAGCAATTTGGCAGCATAGTACTTGGCGATGAATCTGACGACGACACGCTGGTTCCGCTTGGGCCCAGAAAGCATCCAGCACTTTTTGCAGCAAGTAGCTTCTGGGACATCGCTCTTCCTCCATTCTTTTTCACAATCAGTAGATCGAATCACCAAGGTGTCCGTGTTCATGTCATGAACATATTCATGCTGACGGTCACTCAGATTGCCCACCTTCATGATGGTGTGGGTCGCCCACAGCTTGAGTTCTTTGTAGTAGTAGTGCAGACTAGTTTCGCCAGTCCTTTCAGACAGACCAATGCGAAGGCCTTCACACTGCAAAAGTTCTTCAGTGACTGCAGCAGCCTTCTGCTCAGAGTTGCCTTCCCGTGCAAGAAGCTCTAGGGCATCTACATGTTGATCAGAGTCCAGATGTTGCTTCATGAAGTGTTTCACCGGATTCAAGCGAATGCCCTTGCTTCTGCGTGGTAGAAGCACGTTCACCTTTCCAAAAGGTTGAGTGTTGGTGGTACAAAGTTTGCATCGGTATCTCAGAGGAGGTCCAGACTCCAGGGGTGTCAGAAGTGTTATCCACGGCTTCAATGTTTCCAAGTACCTCGGAAAACACAAAATGCTACAAAATGCAATTGCATGAATTGAACAAATGGAGGCTTGCAATCCTTTTGAAATTCTTTTGGGATCCTTTTTAATCCTGTTTAATCCTTTTCATTTTTTTATATTATTTTTGATTTTTTTTGTATCTTTTTGATTCTGTTTGTATCTGTCTGTAAGATTTTATAAGAAATTTATCAGCTTTTCTCATCACTATAAAATCAAAATATCACACTGACACAGTGTCATCAAAGAGCTCTGCGGTTGGTGGTTGCATGGTGTAGGTATGTGTAGGTGGTATGAATGATTTAAAATGCTTGTTTGATTTCCTTTGGTCTATAAAATCAAAATATATAAAAATAAAAAATAAAAAAATGTCTTTACGAACATGTTGCTATGAAATCCCTCCAAAGCACTCTTCAACCATCTTCAACTGGTCAGACTCGCCATCTCCGTGATTTTTACCTTTATCATGATCGTCATTCTTGTCGGTGAGTGCAGGCAGCGATGTGACCGTCGGTGTTGTGCCATTCGCAGCTTCGCAGGCCAACATCACTTTCTCCAATGTTATGCCATTCTTCTCCAGCATGTTCATGCAAATGGAGCAGTTGCTGGGCAAAGTGCCTTTGGACAGATTGAGCTTGAAAGTCTTCCACCATCCACCAGTGCATGAAACTGCCTTCTTCACGTACACAGCCTCCCGATGGCAAGTGAGAAACTTTCTGTAGGTGAGACCGAGAGAAGCCAAAGCAGTTTCCACCTGCTTCCATTGTACTTCCTCAGCAGTCTTTGGCTTTTTGCTCAAACGTTGATATGCTGCCTTCAGCCGGCGACCTGGGTCTTGATCAAGCATCTCTCCATCTACATCCTCAATGTTTGATGTGCTGAGATCTTTCTGCTCTGCGCTCATGACCTGGTGAAAAGCCTCCTCCAAGTCAGGAGCCTCTGGCTCTTGCAGACGCATTCGCTTGGTTCCGGGCTGTTCTAACTCAGAATTCAGAGGCACAGCCCGTGCTGTGAGTGGAACTGGTTTTGCTCCTGCAGCACGTTCGACTCGCTTCTTGCTGGGGTTGGCAGGCCGAGGAGGGCTTAGTTTCTCATCCAACACGCTGCTTGGCATGCCTTTGTCAAGGTCCTTGTTGTTGCCTTTCTTCTTGGGTGTTTCTGGCACATCTTCCTCATCATGTTGCCGTACCAAATCTGCACAAAACGTTTGGAAGAGCATTTGCCACAGAGGTTCATGCTTGCGAATCTCCCAAGCACTGCCGACCATCGATCGAACGATGTGGACCTTCTTCTTGGCTTTCTGGGTTTCAAAGTTTCCGCTTTGATGCCACCGTGCAAAGCATAGAGGCTCCATGCAAGGCAATTCCCATCGGCAGGAACTTCCAAAAGGGCAATTCCAGACTTGTTGCACTTCTCCAGCAAACGAATCCAATTTTTCAACCTTGGCAGGCGCGAGCAAAGAAATTATGTACATATATGTACAATATTTTACAATATTTTACAATATTGTACAATATTGTACATATGTACATATAATATATTATAATATATTTATAATATATTATAATATCATATAATATCATATAATATATTATAATATCATATAATATTATCATGTATTATCATTTACATTCATTTACTATTTATTTTTATTTATCATTTATTAATAGTTAACATTACCATGACATACCATGACTATAAAATCAAAAAATATATATAATATACATATATAAATACATCATAATACATCATTATACATCAATACATTGTATGCAAAAAAAACGGGTCTGGAAGACTAAGTGCTTTAATGTGTCTTGATAAATCTTAATACATTATCATACATGATCCTGATCCTGCTATAGAATCAAAACATATCACAACAATTGAAAAATGTTGAAAACATATCTTAAAAAATCACTACAATTCAGCGGAGCAAAGGAACCGCTTTGACTCGTTTTCTGCAGCATGTAATTCCGATTGCAGTTTGGCCACTGCCATGGGACTGCTCGATTCGGTCAATTCGTCTGCCTTTGCCTGCAGCTTCTTCACATGTGCCACCGTAGAAGTATGTCTGTGGCTCAGATCCTTGCACCTGTTGGTAGTCAGCTTAGTCCAAGCCTGTTTAGATAGCTGTTCTTTGAAGTAGCCAGGAACCCAATGATTGCGCTCGGGCTCATTGGCGTTGTAGACAGCATTGCAGCTGATCAAGCAAAAGGTATCTGTGTCAGAGCGATCAATGACTGGGTACTCATCCAATACATCTCCTCCCGGTAGCAAGGTGGACCAAAATGCTGCAGACACTTGAACTTCCATAGGTTGACCAGAGTAATCCACCCCGATTGCAAGCTTTTTACCAGCCTGCTGGCAGAACACTTCTGCGTCAATCACTTCCAAGAAGGTGCCCTCCGTCTGAACCAACTTGATGTAGGTCTCAATCATTTTCACAATCCGCTTGTTTTCTGCACCTGCATTCCGAAAGGCTCCCGGGAGTGATTTGCTGCAAGCAGCAGATACGAATACAGAATAATACAGAATTATAATGAATTATAATGAATTATAATGAATTATACATAATAATGCAGATACATACATATGGATACAGTATGATACAGTACATTCTAGTAATTTCTAGTATATGTTGTTTTAATATGTATACATTAGTTTACATTATTTGACAATATAGGGATATTTTACGACATATAACAATATAATACATTATAATACAATATAGTATAATATAGTAGAATATAGTAGATAAATGTAGATAAGTTCATAATGTCTTAATATGTTTTATATCACTATAAAATCAAATAAAATCTGAAGACATGCAAACATGAATTCATTTTCCATCATTTTCCCATATTTCCCTATGTTTCTCTGCAATACATGCGGCCTATTTCCACCTCCAAATCCAAACACTATAAAATCAAAACCTCAATGGAATACAATGACCCAATATGACTCAAGCATATCCCACCGAAGCCTGCATCATGATGCTGGCTCAAACGCTCAAACTGGCCCATGTGTTCCTCCAGCTCTCTCCACATCTTTTGCATTGCCGTCTCTTTAGCATGCTTCGGAGGTGTCTCAAATCCTGCCAAAGATGCGCAGCACAAGGCAACACGCAGAAATCGCTTTGAAGAGACATATTATGATTATTTATGATTAATATTTAAATTATCTTAAAATATCTTAAATATGTTTAAATTATATTAATATTGATTATACAATTATGTTATATTATGTTCGTGCAATCATTTAATGTTCTTTTCTCCTACTACAACAGCACCTACCCAAACATGCCCAAACATGTCCAAACATGCCCAAACCATCCGAAACCATTCCAAACATTTGCCATACGAGAACTCTGCAAGCCCATGGCGGTCCTGGCTCTGCTTTAACTTTGGCCTTTTTCGATGGGGTAGAAGTGCTTGAAGGGTTTGCGGAGGCTCTCTTGGAATCAAAAGCATGCATAGGTACATCACCACATCCACCTCCTGGAGCTCTCTCTAGCTTGACCTTCACTCTGCTTCTGGGAGGGTGTTCAGGTGGTGGCAAGGGCGGCACCGCTTCAGATTCTCTGGAAGGAATTTGTGGAAAAGAAAGTTGGTCCGAATTCACACCATGGTTTGCCAGCGTTCTCGTCAATCAGGCTCTTGTTGTCCACCTCTGCAACCTGATGAAACAAGGAATTGCTTCTAAAACCCTTGGCAGGATATAGCTGAGGAGGGAAATCATGGGAAATCCATCTTGATGGGTAATTGGTGGCATTGTATGGCAATCTTCAAGGAATGTCGCATAATGTCGCTATAGAATCAAAATGATTCAAAATGCATAATCAAACCTTCTGCCCATATCCTCAAACATCCTCAAACATCCTCAAACTATCTCAAATTTCTCCAGGGTTTCACAACAAAGTCTACGATGGGTAGATGATGGTGGCTGAATGTGGCTGATATACTGCTATAAAATCAAAAACAAATAAGAGATAATAAGAGTGTGGAATAATGTGACATAATGTGACCATATGTGGATCATGTTCTATGAATCAATGTCGATCATGTTGTATTCACAATGAAATGAAGGAATGAAATAGATTAAAACGGGATATCCCAGGGTACAGTTGGAAACAGAAATAGATAGAATGAACAAATATGAAAGAGATGTCTTGACAACCAACGGCATTGTTGGGACAAGCTGCAGGTTGCAGACCTTTGGAACCAGTCTCCTTGGTCTCTTCAACCGTGCTCGTGCCGTTCGTCTCTGGATCCTTGTGGCCCGCAAATGGCAACAAGATGTAACATGTTTCTGAAGGTTTGCTGCCATTTTCATGCTATTTCCTCCTAGGGTTCAAAGATGTTGAAGGAAAAACTGGAAAATCATGGGAAATCACAAACATTCCCAAACATTCCCAAACATTCCCATCTACATCCGAATCCTTCCATCCACCTACATCCACGAATCATACCAAGGAGCCTCAGTGCCATGAGTACCCTCAAGTTGCGCATTCTCTGACGCAATCTCCTTGGGTTCCGTAGGCATGCCGTTGTCGTTCACCTCTGCCACCTGATGAAAACGAGCAATTTGCTGAACCCCTGGCATGATATAGCTGAGGAATGCTGAGGAGGGAAGTCCATGTTACATAATGATGGGTAATTTATGGCATTTTTTGGCATTGTATGGCAATCTTCAAGGAATGTCGCATAATGTCGCTATAGAATCAAAATATATCAAAATGATTCAAAATTCATAATCAAACCTTCTGCATCCTTCTGCACATATCCTCCAATTGCTCCAGAAAAGCCATGAACAACTCATACGTGTCACAACAAAGACCACAAATTGGATGGGTGGATGATATACTGATATATTATGATATACTGCTATAAAATCAAAAAACAAAACAACATAAAACAAGAATGTGGACATATGTGGATAATGTATGATAATGTTCTGTCAATTTCCATCATGTTGTATCCAAATTAGAGGAATGAGATGGGATATCATGGGGTACAATTTGAAATAGAATGAAAATGAATGGAATATAATGGAACATAATGGAACTATATGGAACTTATAGAATGAAAGAGGTGTCTTGACAACCAACGGCATTGTTGGGACAAGCTGCAGGTTGCAGACCTTTGGAACCAGTCTCCTTGGTCTCTTCAACCGTGCTCGTGCCGTTCATCTCTGGATCCTTGTGGCCCGCAAATGGCAACAGGATGTAACATGTTTCTGAAGGTTTGCTGCCATTTTCATGCTATTTCCTCCTAGGGTTCAAAGATGTTGAAGGAAAGACTAGAAAATCATGGGAAATCACAAACATTCCCAAACATTCCCAAACATTCCCATCTACATCCGAATCCTTCCATCCACCTACATCCACGAATCATACCAAGCAGCCTCAGTGCCATGAGTACCCTCAGGTTGCGCATTCTCTGACGCAATCTCCTTGGGTTCCGTAGGCATGCCGTTGCCGTTCACCTCTGCCACCTGATGAAAACGAGCAATTTGCTGAACCCCTGGCATGATATAGCTGAGGAATGCTGAGGAGGGAAGTCCATGTTACATAATGATGGGTAATTTATGCCATTTTTTGGCATTGTATGGCAATCTTCAAGGAATGTCGCATAATGTCGCTATAGAATCAAAATATATCAAAATGATTCAAAATTCATAATCAAACCTTCTGCATCCTTCTGCACATATCCTCAAATTGCTCCAGAAAAGCCATGAACAACTCATACGTGTCACAACAAAGACCACAAATTGGATGGGTGGATGATATACTGATATATTATGATATACTGCTATAAAATCAAAAAACAAAACAACATAAAACAAGAATGTGGACATATGTGGATAATGTATGATAATGTTCTGTCAATTTCCATCATGTTGTATCCAAATTAGAGGAATGAGATGGGATATCATGGGGTACAATTTGAAATAGAATGAAAATGAATGGAATATAATGGAACATAATGGAACTATATGGAACTTATAGAATGAAAGAGGTGTCTTGACAACCAACGGCATTGTTGGGACAAGCTGCAGGTTGCAGACCTTTGGAACCAGTCTCCTTGGTCTCTTCAACCGTGCTCGTGCCGTTCGTCTCTGGATCCTTGTGGCCCGCAAATGGCAACAGGATGTAACATGTTTCTGAAGGTTTGCTGCCATTTTCATGCTATTTCCTCCTAGGAAAGACTGGAAAATCATGGGAAATCACAAACATTCCCAAACATTCCCAAACATTCCCAAACATTCCCATCTACATCCGAATCCTTCCATCCACCTACATCCACGAATCATACCAAGGAGCCTCAGTGCCATGAGTACCCTCAAGTTGCGCAT